TCTACCCAAATAATTGACAAGGTGCATGAAGAGAGCTATACTCTTTCTACCCAAATAATTGACAAGGTGCATGAAGAGAGCCATACTCTCTCTACCCAAATAATTGACAAGGTGCATGAAGAGAGCTATACTCTCTCTACCCAAATAATTGACAAGTTGCATGAAGAGAGCTATACTCTTTCTACCCAAATAATTGACAAGGTGCATGAAGAGAGCCATACTCTCTCTACCCAAATAATTGACAAGGTGCATGAAGAGAGCTATACTCTTTCTACCCAAATAATTGACAAGGTGCATGAAGAGAGCCATACTCTCTCTACCCAAATAATTGAAAAGGTGCATGAAGAGAGCTATACTCTTTCTACCCAAATAATTGACAAGGTGCATGAAGAGAGCTGTACTCTTTCTACCCAAATAATTGACAAGGTGCATGAAGAGAGTTATGCTCTCTCTACCCAAATCATACTCTGTTACACTTTACATCTTAACTTCCCTTTGAGTGCAAACATTGAATAATCGATTCCATTTTCTTTTGTTTCAGATCTGGTCAGAAGTTCTCAAAGTATCGACCCACTCGATAGAGAGTCGCTCTTGAAGTTTTCACCACTGCCACCTCCGGGAGAATTATTTTTTAAAGAATTCGTTACCCACACCTTGTACACAGACAACGCTCCTGTTTCGCCATGACCAGCGAGGCAGACACCAGCGTCTGCGACCCAAACGTCTTCTACAACATTCGAAACTCTCACCAAAGCCACTACGACACCCAGCAGCACCACATGTCTCACCACAGCCACATCAGCAGCAGCAGCTACCAGTCGGGTCACGACCACCGCCAGTTTCAGTCCAAGGACGCCCGACGCAGCACGGATGACGACGACGAGGACAACGACGACAACGACAAGCTTATCTCGGTCGATGATTTCGACGACAGCGACAACGAAGACATCCGCAGCTGCAGCACCCTGAGCCCCACGCCCTCCGACAACGCGGTGAACAGCAGCTCCTCCCGGTCCTACGGCACGGGTCGCTTGGGCGGCGGCTGCGGGAAGCTCCGAAAGAAAAGCGGCTTGGTGTCAAAGGTCATGGATGAACAAGAGTTGCAGAACCTGCGCCTCAAGATCAACAGCCGGGAGAGAAAACGCATGCACGATCTCAACTCGGCGCTGGACGGCTTAAGAGAGGTGATGCCGTACGCCCACGGTCCATCCGTTAGAAAACTCAGCAAAATCGCAACGCTGCTGCTTGCCAAGAACTATATACTCATGCTGAATTCGTCGCTGGACGAGATGAAGAAACTGGTGAGTGAAATCTACCACAACCACGGTGCACCTCGACCTGGCGGACTACCTCCAGCGGCCCCGCCTCTCCCCCCACCGCCCCAGCAAACACCGGCTGCAGCTGTGGTCAGTTCCGCGGCAAGCTCCATGAGCTCAAGCGCACCAAACGACACCATGTCCAGAGGTCTTTCGTCCAGGGCTCAAACTCCGACGAGCAAGCCCGGCGACAGCCACGCCAGTGTTCCTCGCCCGCACCATCACCCGAGCCTCTCCTTCGGCCAGGCTCTCACCAATCCGATGCTGTCGCTCCCCATCCCCACCCTGAGGCTCCCCGTGCCTGGTCTGACGCCCCACGAAATAAACGCAATCGCAACAGCGTACAGCATCTCTAAAGCAGAAGGTGCCGGCGGTGCGCACCTCTCCAACTCATACTCTTCACACGATCGTGCGCATCCTTATCAAAGATGGTCGGTGCCCTGCGCGTGTGCTCAGTGTTTAACCGGAACGGGACATTTGTCATTGGGACTTCACCTGAGCAGGTTTTCCCATCCACTCCTCTCGTCTGCTCCATCTTTACCTCGCAAAAACTGAGCCGTCCCCAAAAGACGTTGCCAGAAACGCTTTGGTATACACGAAGCCCCCCCCCCCCCCCCCCCCACCCCCAAAATGACGTTAAAGCAGATTATTTCCAGATACACGTATGACAGATTTAGTTACTTGCCACAAACTATTTTTCAATATTTTATTTTACCGTCCATCTCGGTAGTTCACCAGAAGAATTAACTGTTGAGAAGGTCCCGTACACTTTGCAGCATTATATAGTCACGATTATAGCATGGTTAGAGATTGTTCAAAACTTTTTGAACTAGCCATAATATTGTTGGCCATTGTAATTAGGCCGTTGAATGATCTGATCCTCATCCTCTTGAAGATGGGTGGCAACTTTTTAAATAGTAGTTTGGTCTAACGCTTTCAGTCATAATGGTCAATTAATAAGACACACATAGCGTAATCCGTTGTGATTAAATAATTAACCCGATTTTAAAATATATAGAATTTAACTTAAGTGACGGATAATTTGCCAGATTAAATTAAGTGGAAATGTTGGTAGCCTCCAATCTATGAGAATGGTGCAAATTGACGCCTGGTGCACGATGTTTGTAAATAAATGACTGTGATAAGATAACACCGAACATTCCCCAAGCGCTTAAATTGTTTATACTGCTTGATTTATACTCTGTAATGTGCAGCGTTTGTGTGAATGACGTGTAGTGTGTGGCTTGTGTGTGACTGATGTGTAGTGTGTGGCTTTTGTGTGATTGATGTGTAGTGTGTCGCTTGTGTAGTGTAGTGCTTGAATGAAGTATACAAAGAACGCGACATGTATTTTACCAACAATGTTTAGCTCAGTCCTATATGTTACTGCTGTAATATAGGCCTACACCACTGATGAATCAATTATATGTTACTAATGTGTTTTTTATAACTTTAGTGCCCTATTACTGCCGTTTATTGTTTTAGGAATTCTTTGTTCCATGGACTGTTTTTGGGGCTTATGTTTTCTCATGTCAATATAGAACTAGGCATAAAACAAGCCAAATTATTACTATTATTATTTTATGGTAATTAAACAATATTTGTTTTAGACAACATTTCTTTGTCAACTTCTAACCACTTAAAATTATTTTTAATTATATATATATATATATATATATATATATATATATATATACTTTTTAAAATATATATACTCTTTCTTTCTTTTATTTTGTTTTTTTATTTTAAATTATTACTATTATTATTTTCTGGTAATTAAACAATATTTGTTTTAGACAACATTTCTTTGTCAACTTCTAACCACTTAAAATTATTTTTAATTATATATATATATATATATATATATATATATATATACTTTTTAAAATCTATATACTCTTTCTTTCTTTTCTTTTGTTTATTTATTTTTCCTATGTAGACCCACTGAGCGGAAGTTTAGATTCAAAATATAGAGCAGGCCTGGATGACACACGGTCCGCGGGCCACATGCGGCCCGCCAGCACCCACTTTGGGGCCCGCGAAGTAACGAAATATTCTTTATTCGTATTATTTTATTAATAGCTCCCCCCCCCCCAAATCCTATTTTCTTTTGGCCATCACAGGTGTTTCATGAAATATTACGGCCCGCCTTATATTTGGGGTTGTCCAGGCCTACTCTAGAGTAACTAACTTAGCCGAAGATTTTTAAACTCAATAGGCCTATATTTAAAACACTCCGAAGAGAGGGTTTTTAATCAGAGGTCTCTTCTGGCACAAATTAATTTTTTTTATCTTTGTCATATTTACTACCTACTACGTTAAAAATCTAAATTTATACTAACAATGTTTGTTAAAGAATAAAATAGAGGATTTTCTTTTAAATATTTTGAAAAGAATATTCTCATTTAATTTTTTTTTTTTTTTTTTTTTTTTTTTTTTTTTTTTACATGATTTTTGACAAATTTTTTACTCGCAGAGATTATCTTTATTACGGTACTCTCTACATATTTGTCTCAACAGTTCTTTTGTCACTAAGTTATTGTTATCGATATTTCTCATTGTTATTTAATATGCATTCCATCTGTAATATAAACCTATGCACTGAATATTGATAAATAAAAATAAACCTTTTACCTTAACGAACACACCTCGTCTGTGCTTGTCTCAATTTCTATGTTGTATTCGGACACACACGTGGTCTGTGCTTGTCTCAATTTCTGTGTTGAATTCACAGTGCTGTGTTCTTACGTTACTAAAAAGTGAAGGCTGGTGGGGGGGGGGGGGTGATGCTGTGGTAAGAGAAGAACTTTAATGCACCACGACGTTACCATAGGTCAACACATTGAGCTTATTTGTCTTCACCATAGAACTGAACATCAAATACCAATAAGCTGAAGCCATGATTATAAATGAGAGACTGAGTTCCAGCTGTGTGAATGAAATAGTAGAACAAGGTATGTGGAAGCTTGACTCAAAAGTTAGGGCAGTAAGAGGTGAACGTTTCGGCTAAGAGCCTTCCTCGGCAGACAGGACACATGAAAATACGAGAAGACATAGAGTATGGTTAAAAATTAATTGATCGCTTTTGTTGTTGCCGGAAGTCATGGTACACACTTCAAAAGAAACCCTTCTACAAAATGTTTTCTTTTTAACACATCGAAACAAAATGTGCCAAAAAAAATGGTGAACCAAGGTGGGGGGGGGGGGGGGGGGGGGGGTGAAGCGGGGGGACGCCCCTGGCGGAAACTTTGGAGGATCTAGATAATTAAAATTATGCAAATGATATGTGCATGTGTGTTAAGGGGTTCACTTTTGAGTGTTCGCCCCAGGTGGCATTTAATAAGGTACGCTACTGGGGCAAATCACATTTAAGTCACATTGAAAAATGTACGAAATCAAATGATAATAATAATGTAATTTTAAATATTGAAATGGAAAAAAAAGAACACCATCATTGTCATAAATTTTTCTAAGGCTTCAGAAAGATTGTGGTTGTCAGCAGACAGAATATCTCCGCCTTACCCACTTTCCCCTTTAAAATTAACATAAAAGATTCAAAATGTAATTAACTCTAAATTTGAACTGAAAGAAGTATTATGTCAATGAACTATACAAAAAATATGTCAAGGAACTAAGAGAAGTATTTAAATGAACTGAAAGAAGTATGTCAATGAACTGAAAGAAGTATGTCAATGAACCGAAAGAAGTATGACAATTAATTGAAATAATTATGTAAATAAAAAAAAACAATTATGTCGAGGAACTGAAAGAATTATGTCAATGAACCAAAAGAATTATGTCAAGTAACTGAAAGAAGTATGTCAATCAACTAAAAGAATAATGTCAAAGAACGGAAAGAAATATATCCATGAACCAAAAGAAATAAATCAAGGGACTAAAAGAAGTATGTCAAGGAACTGAAAGAATTATGTCAATGAACTGAAAGAATTATGTCAATCAACTGAAAGAATTATGTTAATGAACCGAAAGGAATATTTCAATGAACCAAAAGAATTATGTCAAGTAACTGAAAGAAGTATGTCAATTAACTAAAAGAAGTAGGTCAATGAACGGAGAGACTTATATACATGAACCAAAAGAAATATATCAAGGAACTAAAAGAATTATGTCAATGAACTGAAAGAATTATGTCAATGACCAAAATAATTATTTCAAGGAAATGAAAGAATTATATCCATGAGCCAACAGAATAATGTAAATGATCAAATAGAATTATGTCAAGGTACTAAAAGAAGTATGTCATTAAACTGGAAGAAGTATGTCGATGAATTGAAAAAAGTATGTCAATGAAAAGAAAGAAGTATGTCAATGAACTGAAAGAATTATGTCAATGAACAAGAAGATTTATGTCAAGGAACTGAAAGAAGTATGTCAATGAACTGACAGAAGTATGTCAATGAACTGAAAGAATTATGTTAATGAACCAAAATAATTATGTCAAGGAACTAAACGAATTACGTCCATGAACTGAAAGAATTATGTCAATGAACTGAAAGAATTATGTCAATGAACTGACAGAGTTATGTCAATGAACCGAAAGGGATATTTCAATGAACCAAAAATTATGTCAATGAAATGAAATAATTATGTCAATGAAACAATAGAATTATCTCAAGGTACTACAAGTATTATGTTAATGTACTAAAAGAAGTATGTCGATGAACTGAAAGAATTATGTCAATGAACCAAAAGAATTATGCCAAGGAACTGACAGAAGTATGACAATGAACTGACAGAATTAAGTCAATGAACTAAATGAAGTGTGTCAATGAACTGAAAGAAGTATGTAAAGGAACTGAAAAAGTATTTCAATGAACTGAAAGAAGTATGTCAATAAACTGAAAAAAATTATGTCAATGAATCAAAAAAACTTAAAGAAGTATGTAAATGAACTGAAAAAGTATTTCAATCAACTGAAAGAAGTATGTCAATGAACC